TAACTTTAAATACATAAATACCTGCATAGGGGTTGTTTTGTGGTCCCAGCAACTTTCTGCAAAAACTTGAAGATCATTGTTAAATTTCAGCAAAGTATACTTGAATATCAACTTCAGATTAAATCAATAGATATTTATTGAACATCAACTGTGTTGTGAGAGGAAAGGATTCCAGAAGTTTTAAGTTAGGTCTCTATATTCTACCCCATTCCCCTTTGGCCACAGATAATACAGTGATTTCCTTTTTATTCATGAAACTAAAGGCGTCTTTAGTCACTAACACATTGCTATTTCATTCCTTTCATAGAATTATTTGCTATTAATCTAAAATAATTTTGTTTATTTACTTAGTATTTGTCTTTTCCTTTTAGACTATAAGCTCTATGAGGGTGGAATCCTTGTCAGTGTCATTCACTGTTTAATTCTGGGGCCTAAAGCAGATGGTAGGCACTGACGAAAATATTCAGTGAATTAATGAATTTTAAAACTGAGTAAATTTACTTTTTGGTCCATAAAGTAAATTGTGGCTATTAGTTTCAAACTTCTTCCTTGTCAAATCTTTTATTAAGACTATCAACCCCTTTTTTTTTTGTGCTCTTGTTTATACTCTGGAATTGCTAGCAAAACAATTTGATAAATGGCTATCAAGAATAGATGAAAAAGCAAGGGATCTAATATGTACACTCACCACCTCTGACTAATTGAACTTACAAATTAAGCCATCATTCTTACCATTTAGCTGGCATCTTTCATGCCAGATGACAAAGATTCTTTGTCCAAATTTTAGTCAGGCTCCTGAGCCTTCTTTTAGGCCCACCAGTGTACTTCCTTGTAAAAATCTAATTTTAGCAAGAACCCCTCCCCACCCCCATATCTGCTCACCCTCATATCTCATCAGGTTCTCACCCTTCACCATTCCCCAGGTGATAATCTGATCACCCTGGCCTGTCTTCAGCAAGAATCCTGTTAGGTAGGTTTAGCCAGAATCCCCCTTCCCCTGATGTTTCTTCTTAGTACTTTTCCATCCATTGACCCCTCACCCTGGTGCTTGCCTATAAATTCCCACTTGCCTGTGCTGTATTTGGATTTAAGCCAGGTTCTATACTGAGGTCTCTTCCCTATTGCAATAGTCCTGAATAAAATCTGTTTTTTACCACTTTACTGCCCATCTCTGAGTTTTCTTTGACACGGGTGAGTGACACATTTCCCCTCCCCCCCAAAGGCCTATTTTCTTTTTTTTTTTGTTCACTTTTCCTGGCACTTAGTAGTCCCTGGCACTTAGTAACGTTTTTTGAATGAATGAATGAATGAATGATAGCTAGTCTGAACCCCTTCTAGATTTTTATGAATCTTTGATATTTATGGTACATATATGCCCTTCTCATTTTTTTGTATCTAGCAATATCTGCTTTTTGTTACTAGGAACCTAAGAACAGACCCATAGGTGTGTTTGTACATGGCTTTTATTTTGTACTGAAAGTTGCGCCATCTTATTAACATCAGTAGGTTACTAAAGAAATAATCCCATCACAACCAGGTCCAGAGAATTGACTTTGTGGACCTCAGTGACAGACTCTATCTTCATTTTATTTAAGGAAAAAAAAGGTAGATAGATCCACGTAGAGAGAGAGAATCCATTTTTTTATTTGCACATTGATTATTTTACATTATACTTCCGGCTCTGACAAAACTAACAGATTTTATGAAATTATCCTAGTTACTAAAAATCATCCTCTAAACCTTGTATTTTCTTCAGTTCTCTCCCAGCATTCAGATAACTTTCTCTCTTTTGAGTAAATACTAATTTTTATCATTATATGCATTCTGGTAACTGCATACTTGAGCCTTTTCCTTGGTTGACTTGGTCTCTAGGACAGCCTATTTATGTATCTTTGTTTTCCTGTTCTAAAATCTCCATTGAAAGCATCTCACTTCCCCTTGGAGAGGTCTCTAAATGTGTTTCCCTGGCCTGCCATTTATTGCTTAGTTCTATAAAATGCTTGAATTTCATCCTGAAGATCACGAAGCAGACGACAGACGTGAGTGCCATGCCCAGACATGCGATCTGCTTGTCAAACAGTACAGTTACAAATGGGCTGTGAGTTAAATTCTAGTGAATGAAAGCATCATTATTCAAGATTTCACCTTTTGTCTCAGTCTGTTTATACTACAGATATGTGTTGCTTTTTTGTTTTTGAGAGTGCATCAGTTTGACCTCTCATAATTAGAGATTTGTTTTAAGTATCAAATAGAAATAAGCAATGGCATTCTTTATATGTAATGATGCAGCAGACTGGGGATGAAGAAAAATTTTTTTTAATGTTAGCTGTAAATTTTTTTAGGTAGTAAGACATCGTTATTTTTGTTGTTAAATATTTAATTTTTTTAAAATACAAATCACTTTAAAGTGAAAAGACAAGGATGACGGAAAAGAAAAGGGGCAAGAAATTGAGGGAGTGATTTAAGAATAATTGTGGGTATTTAAGAAAGAGGGCTTCCTTCCTCCCATTGTGATCTCTCCTTCGTGAAAATGGCAAACAAAAGCCAGCAAATTGGGAAGGAAGCAGGAAATCCTAGTTAGTGACTGTCAGATTAGAATATTTAAGAGCCATAAAAATGCTTCTGTTAAATTTTAATGCTTTCCCTCCCCCCCAGCTTGCTTTTGCCTCCCCCCACTTTAAATTGCTTTTAGCAAGTCATGATTTTTCATTTCTATTTCCTAGTAAGGATGCAATTAAATAAAATGTGGAAGGCTTATATTGTGATGTGATTGTGCAAAAGCAGGTTAAATTTTGAGTTTTGTGATTTGAGGGAAACCATTCCAGGATTTATTTAACCACTTTGTATGCCAGTGATGCTACCCCACTCCTCAGCCAGTACCCTTTCCCTCCTCTAGGTAGAAAACAGAAAAGTTAGTCACAAATAACAGAGCCAAGGTAAAAAATGAGGAATCCTGCTTGGTCCTTGTATCTACTCTAGTCCTTGTAGTTTACTTCCTGGTTGAAAATACGTTAGATCACCTTGTTGAAATAAAATTCTCGTTTCGTGATTATATTAGGAAAGCGGGATCTGGGGCTTAGGAAGTGAAATTATCTGCAGCACAGCAGTTATTAGGATTTTGTTTCAAAGATAAATTGCTTTCCAGAAATGCTTTGAGTTTTCAGCTATAATGGCCTTGGTCTTTGCATTTATTTACTTGTATTTATTTTTTGCACTATATCATAGTTCCAGAAAAGTGCTAAAAAATCATATATTTAAAACAAACAAACCAGAAAACCCCCTTGTCCTGAGGCTATGTGAAGAAGAATAAAGCTCTCATTTTCCCAGTACCCAGTCATCAGTTTGAGCTGGCTCTCCTAGGAAGAGAATTTATTGAAGCAATTTATCCTGGCTAAATGTGATATAAATCTGTATACACCTATGTACATACAGGCTCTCTTCCATTACAGCAGTGCTGTAGCGTCAGTTTCTTCATAGTTAGACCCTGAAAGATCACTGAAAGATGACTGGAAGCCCTTAGTATTTTACAGGGCATCCCACAATTTTAAACACCGATTACTGGTGGAATTACTGACCAGACTACCAGAAATACTGGTTTCCAGCCCCAGAGTGAGTCTTAAGAGAGTTAAAGAGATGTTACCTAGCTATCCTCTGGGTTTTGAGCATGGTTTTCTGATTACTAGCACTTTAACATTTTATTTTAATGCAGGCCTGACTGAGTTTAACCTGATATTTTGGTTTATCTCCAGGATAAAAACATGAAATTTGGTTACAATTCTGAAAGCATATCATGTACTTTTTCCTCTTTTACCTTCTGTTGTTCATATTATTTCATACACCTTTCTTTCTTGTAGAAGGATGTTTGAAAATGTCTTTTAAGAGCTTATTTTAAAGACTGTTTTTGGTGTCCCCCTTTTTCTCTTCCACCCTTTCAAAATATCTTTTTTATTTTTTTTATTTTTTTGCATTTCTAATTTTTATCCATCTCCACCTCTATTTTTATTTCTAGGAGGGATATGAGAAATTTCCCAACACATTCATATTGGAATTATTGTTTTTGACAAAGATTTTGATCAGCATTTCAAGAGTTGAGCTTCAATAATTAAAACAACAACAGTATAAGTCCTGTTAAATTCTTCAGAGAAATAGAGAGGATGGATGGTGATGCCTTTTAGTGCCATTTCTTTATCCCCTGCAGCAGCACACATCTGTTGGCTGCAACAGAGCAACCCAAGAACTCTGGCCGAGAGCAGCACAAACAGCCGGAACATATTCGCCCAGTAAACCCCCAAAGAGTCGACATTTGTTTTATTGCTGCTTTTAAAAACCTAGCCATAAATAGAATCAGAGGGGGAAGGGCACCGATATTTCTCCATTTGCCACAGACGATTGGTAGGGGGAGAAGGAGACTCCCAGTGGGGAGAGAAGGTTTTTATTTTTATTTTTTATTAATGAAAATCATTTCCCGTGTAGCCCAATAGGATGGGTGCTTTGTTTTCTTTGGCAATAATCTGGGATAAACGGCCCTTGCCAACCATCTTGTACTTTATACACCAGGGAGCCAGATTATGGCCCTGTAAAATGGAGCACCCCTCCTATAATCCCTTAATTAATTAAATGACAAATTTTGGTCTTCTCGAGTTCAGAAATATGGCTTCCGCATCGAGCGTTCGGTGGATTTATTGACAGGGAACTGCACTGGTTGTAATTCAGCAGACTGGAGAAAGATTACATACTGTAGCAGAAAGGGAAAACTGAGCAAAAGTTTTGAAATTCCTTGACTATTTAGGCCTAAATTTTTCTAAGTAAAAGTTTCAATTGAGGCACAGTAGATCACATGCCACCTGTCTAATGGGTCTCCCCAAAGTAGCCAGTGTTTACAGCTTTGATAGATGGCATTCTTGGAACACCTGTTTCTAGGCTTGATATTTTTGAAGCACTTTTTTTTTTAAACTCCAGCATATTTAACATAACTTTTCCCCCTACCTCCTCCTCCTCAGCTCCGCTCTGCTATATGAAATATGGGAGACGACAGACCGTTTGTGTGCAATGCCCCGGGCTGTGGACAGGTACGTTTACAATATACTTTATTGTGAATGTCTCGTTGTGAATCAAAGTGGCTGTTTTATCACTAAGGCAAAGAGTTTAAAGCCGGTATTTTACGTGATCACTGGAGGTAATCAGATCAGAGGATTTGCAGTGTGTAAATCCAAGTTATGAGGAAGTGTAGGCACTCTACCGTAATGAAATCTGCCTTGCTCTCTTTCATATTGTTTTTCTACTGGTGTTTGTTTCTCAACACACAGTGTTGAAGAATACATGTTGCTCTCTCCTCCTTTCTAAACCTATCCATCTAAATACAAAGCAAGTTTAGAAATATCTTATTTTCAACCTTCATGGATATAAAAGTCAGCTTAACATATTTGGATAGGCAGCTGAGGATGCACCCATTCATCATTAACTCCAATTTGCCAGAGTCTATTTGGATTTTTTAAGAAAAAAAAAATGGTTTTTTGACTGTTGATCCAGAAAATAATTGTTAGCAGCAAAGGCAGATATCTGTCCAGGAAAGAGAAATCCAACACAGAACCTGAAATCTCACAGCAATATATAAACTACAAACCCTCTCAGCTATTTTCCCTGTCTGATGCCATGAAATGCCTTGTTGTATGTCAGCTGCCATGTTGCTGTTTGCATATGTGTACATTAAGTGTCAGATATGTTTCATCACATACTTTTTTAATATAGTAATTTTTTTACAGTGCCTCCTCCCCCCCCCCCCCCCCCCCCGTTTTGCACCTTAACTCTTTTCCTAAACCCTCCCCTACCACCATGTTCCACAAAGGATGAAGAAAGGAATGCAATGAAAGCTTCATCTGCTTTCATGAATTGACTTTATGGAACCTGTATGTTTGAGTTTCTGTTCAGTTAGGAATATGGCATGTGACTGTCCAGTGACACTTACTGGTGGTATGTGAGATTGCAGACTAGTTCTATTAAACATTGTGAATACGTAGGCAAAAAGAGAGAGTTAAGTTTCAGAGATTCCTAAGAATTGGAATTTGAAAGATGGATGAGACAGGTGGTGACAGGGAATGGGCAGAAGGACGATTTCAAATTCCAGTAAATGGTGAAAATTTCAGAAAAGACTAAAAAAGCCATTGTATTCTGAAGGATTGATTCATCATGGTAGGGTGTATTTCCTTCCTTGTCAAAGTTTTCAACTTCGTTGTTGATTGCTTGTTTTCTCCCATGTGGTTTATATTTTATTTTTTTACAGTAGAAGTCTCTTGGGAAAATATGGTAAAATTTGTTTCACTTTTCAGACAGCTTTATTGATATACGTATCTGAACTTGATGCCTCCAAATTTTTGTTTAAATTTGTTGATAGAGAATTTTTTTGTTTTGTTTTTAATTGAAGAACAGTGTGTTTTTCCAGGACCCACCAGCATCAAGTCAAGTAGTTGTTTCAATCTAGTTGTGGATGGCGCAGCTCAGCAGCCCATGTGGGGATCGAACCGACAACCTTGGTGTTATGAGCACTGTGCCCTAACCAACTGAGCTAACTGGCCGCCATGATGGAGTATTTTAATGTGACTCCCATAATTGATACCTGGTACCTTTTTCACTTCTTTACTTTTAAAATCTGCATTTTTGGTGAAAAGATTTCTTTTTCTCATACTTAATTTATTTTCTTCACTTTTTGTTTAAGCTGCTCAATGCCTGTATCCCCTTATGTGCTGTTCGAGGATTTAAAGAAATAAAAATGGATGATAAAAATAAAGGAATACACAGGAAAAGCATCTCTTACGCTCTGTGAGAAAGAAAGATATAAATAGGATTTCTTCAGGTTGTTTCATCAGAAAAGAGTAGTTTTCACTGAAATTTGAGAGTTCCTAGAATGGTTTTGTGTCTTTTTTTTTTGCATTTTGGACTAGAGGTACGAAAACAGTAGGGACTTTTTACTTCAGTTTGTTCTTATACTAATGGGTTCTGTTTACCATAAGCCTTTTTCCTCCCCTACTTCTCCCTCTCATGTCTGAATTGTTTGTTGGTATTTTGGTTATTAGGATTCATTACAACCTTTGGCGTAGGTCCTGAAGCCTTTTTTTTTCCCCTCAGCGAGTGTGGAATTCAGGGAGATTACTACCTTCTTTTGGATTCAAGTTACTTGTTTAATAGAAAAAGGATAGAAAGCTACAACTTAAGGCTTTGAAGATTGTCTGATTTATTTATTTATTTTTTTTTACCTTCTTGCATGTTAAAACTTTATGGTCAGGTGAGATTGTAGTTCTTTAGTTGTATTTAGTCTCCTTCCAAGTTTCTCCCAATATCTAGTAACAAATAGCTGTAGAGTGGGATCTCTACAAGATTTACTGTGATTGCTTTGTGTTATATGAAATAGTGAAAATATGGCAAAGAAGATAAATTTGGTAAAGTGAACTATTCTTGGCCTATCGTCCAACTTCCTTAAATCCCTTGAAAATGGTTTTATTCTGGAGCCACTGAGGCCTTTAAGCTGTTTACAGTTCACTGTCATTGATTCAAATTCTTTATTCCAGAAATGGTAGAGTAATAAAAAAGGCTATGTAAGTCCCAGAAGGGGTAATAAGGACCGTGATAATTTTTGCAAGGCATGGTTTAGAACTTACTGCAATAGAAGTTTCAAAAATCAGTGGCTTCCTCCAGTTAGAGGAAGAAAGAATGAAAGCAAATTATAATTTAAGAGACTGATCCTTAAAAACCAACCAACAAACATAAACTATAGGACTCTTGCATTTTTTCAATATCTGTTCCCTGCCCAGACTTTACTCCATATACCCCTAAACTCAGAAATCATCTATGCCTTAATATTAAAGGAAGGTGAAAGGAAAATTCACCTAAAATAGACTAGCGGATTATGCTCTCCACCATATAATCAAAACCACCAGGCTTTCAGTGGATACGTAAACATGTTTTGGTTGCTAGGTCTTTAATGGCTGTTATTTTTGGATTCTGTTCATGATCCACTTCCCAACAGTAAGTCTGATGTGACACAGCTGAGTTCTAAATATGCTGCATGTGCTTTTTTTAAATAAGATGGCTGCTGAAGGTTGTGTTCTCTGCATTCTTATCTGAAAAGACAGGTGATAGGGTTTTTTGAGCCCTCTCATCCCTCTTCTCCTGTGGAGATGCTGTTTCTCTTGAGGCCTCATCACCCTCATGAAGAGGAATTCAGGGAAAGTAATATTCCTGCTAATACCTCTCTATGGAATGTGGCAGCAGGAGTAGTTAATAACACTGCCTCCAGATTGTTAAGGCAACAGTGTCCCTGATTCCCAATGGTAAAGGGTTGGTTGAATTTGAGTTGTATGGGTTTTTGATGTTTATAAGATAGCATGTATTTAAAAACATTGTGACTATAAAATGGCTTTGCCTATGTTTTATTGTTAAAATAATAGATGTGTAGGGGGGTGGCCAGTTAGCTCAGTTGGTTAGATCGTGGTGCTGACAACACCAAGGTTGCCCGTTCAGTCCCTGCGTGGACCACTGTGAGCTGCGCCCTCCTTAAAAAAAAGAATAAATAAATAATAAAATAATAGAAGTATAGTTTGGGGCTCAATCTAGGAAGTCTTAATAAGTTTTTAAAGCTTTGGGGGACACTTTTACTTGAAGGAAATTACAAAGTTCTTCTATTGTGTGTGGAAGCAGGAAAAATTACTATGTCTCCATCAGTAATCTTGAATTTGAGATGTTCTTTCATGTGGATGCAGTTAGATAGCTTACCGTTTGGATGCTTTTTGTCCAATTTTTATTACCAGGAGTCAATTCCATATTCCTATACCTCCCCCTCAAGCATAGACACTGGTTTGCAATACAAATTATACATATTTAAGTAGTCCTTCTGGTCACCGTAATCAGGTCTTTGGGTAGAAGCTGGTCATATAAACTTATTACCTAGAACATCTTTTTCCTTAAGAACAGGAACGCATTTCCTCTGAGGAGATACTACGTAATAGACAGTATCATCCCATTATTAGCCATTGAGAAAGGTTTCTGTCATAGCTACTCTGTATCAACTGTGTCCTTTTAAGGAAAAATCCTTTGATTGTTCCTCCACCCAGTGTGACCCTGAAGGGATGTTACTCTTTTTTCCCCCCTGAGAATATCTACTACCAGGTCTTTTCTTCTCCCAGGGGACATATACGTACAAGTTGGGATTCTGTACCTACCTTTCTGAGACATGAACCGTATAACTAGCTCATAGAACTCCAGGGCCTGTTTTCCCTTTCTAAGGCCAAGAATAGCAGTAGAGCCCTAGTTGTGGTGGGATTGAGGGCAGCTTCTTATATCTCCTTATCTTGTCATATAGTAGGAATAATGTTTATGATGTTGTAGTCCTGGCTTCACTTGGCATTTAACCAACCTCCAATGCTGTTTATTGCTTCGTATCCTCTGCTTCCATGAACATTATCCCTTAAATCTCTATTGCTTTGTAATATATGAGGCAACAAATAGCTTCTATGATTGGTTAAATGCTGGCATGCTACAAAGGTATATGTTTTATTGCCTATATAACACAAATCTAGAGAGATTATTCCTGTTACCCCAGCCCTCCCATTAAGTGGGCCATACTGGTACTGTGGGACTCTGGATTTTTAATTCTATCCCTTTGGCAAGTTTCCCTATTACCTGGCATTAGCACAAAAGAAAAGCAAGGAAGAATGGGTTGGCGCTGATTACTGATTCTTTATGTTAGTGGTATATCTTGAATTGGAGAAAAGCAAGGGAAGAAGTGGCCCTGGTCGGTAAATGCCATTTGTGGTGGTGTATGCTATCTTTACATACTTCGACAGGTGAGGGCAATTTCAGACAAACAAATAAGCCTTTCTTCCTCACCCCCTGCCAAGAGTTTTAAAAAAATCAGATTTTCATTTAATAATTCATATTTCATTCAATAATTCATCCAGTTCCCATCTGGTAAGAGTGCCTGCATGCTGTCAGGCAGCTGAAAATACACTGTATTATACACAATTAGGCCAAATGCTAACCTTGTTTTTTGTAATAATATGTTGGTTTTGCAATAACT